GCCATATATAGTCAGCCATATATATACTATCTCCTATATCGCTGACTCCCTATCTAAGCAATGAGTGGCGAGCGTTTCCATCAAAAGCAGACGGAATGATATATGTTTTGTCTTTGTCGTGCCCCCATATCGCGAAGGCGCTTGCGCGAATCGTAAATTTTAAAGAGTTTGAAGTGTTTCGCGCGTATTTTATGCAGCTTTGAAATGCAATTATTGTAGATAGTTGACTTTAATTATAAATTATCGTAGATGCATCAAATAAATTAGAATATATGTACTTTTGTGTGAAATTGACGTTGAATATTGCTTTAAATATCAACTTTATGTAGGTTGTTCATTAAACATTATATTCTTTACTTTTGTTTAGGCAACCCAAATAACAAACCAAATTTTATGTAACCATGACAATTTTGTCGATTTCAAATGTTATAAATAAAACAAGAAGCCATTATTGTATTAGATTTTAGGTTATGTTTATGTCAAACATTTATTTGGTGTTTTATAAACATCAAGGTCATCAGCTGCTATTAATTTTTAATTCACCGTCCAATAAGATAAAAGCGTACTCACCACGTGTTCACGCATGTCTCTTGTGTAGACGGGGGCACGACAGAGACAGATATATATATATCTGCACTCTAGTGTTTACACTCTTTTGCTGCCTTAGTCAGCGATATAGGAGATAGTATATATAAAAACGGCAAGCATCTTTTAATATTTTTAATAAGATTTTATTAAATTGATTAAATTCTATTCTTTCTGAACGCGCGGCAATTACCGGGATCAAAATATGTTTAATTTTCTTTTAGTTTCACAAATGTACTTTAATTAGGTGCCGGACCAATTCAGGAATAAAACACTGTGTAAAATAGACTTACCTTTAATTCTTCTCTATCGTTGAATAAATTCAAGATTGATCTTATCACGTCTTACATCGGTGACTATTCGGAATAAAAAGGGGCGAGAAAAGATCGAGATTCTCTAACATTTCAAAAAAAAGCTTTTACACATCACAACCAATAAACACAGTTCGCAACATCTTTTGACAACCATTAAAGAAAGTAAACTGTGTTGCCTAAACATTTTCCATCTTAAAATTTAGACGTAAAAAAAGCCAATTCCACAACCGATGGAATACATATCTATATGATGGATCGGGTAAGTAGTGGCAGCAAATAATACATTACCGTTAAAATATTGTAATATATTAATATTACATACATAATATGTATGTTAAGAAATACATATACGCTGCGACTCTTAAATCGCAGTAAATTTAGTTGATGTATGTGAAATTGTTCTTCAACTTTTATGAATGTTTTGGTTCTGAAAAGAACCGGGTCGTTTTGATATTAAAATAATTTCAATTTCTTAGCCTCCAAAGCCGTAGAGAGTGCGCCCTTGCCGTTTAAGGGCGTAAACGACGTCCATAGCAGTGACGGTTTTTCTCTTTGCATGTTCCGTATAGGTGACAGCGTCGCGAATAACGTTCTCAAGAAATACCTTTAGAACTCCTCTGGTTTCTTCGTAAATTAAACCGGAAATTCGTTTTACGCCACCACGACGAGCAAGACGCCTGATGGCCGGTTTGGTAATGCCTTGGATGTTGTCACGGAGTACTTTGCGATGACGTTTCGCACCACCTTTACCAAGCCCTTTTCCTCCTTTTCCACGACCAGTCATTGTGTTAGTTTGTCAATACTCTAGTAATCACTCGATGGTTATGATAGGAGTGACCACTTTCGACCCTGTTATATACATGTCGAACGGGAACGCCCATCACCGCTTGTTTTCGACCAATCCGAACAAGCGTGCAATGTGCGGTACGTGTAACGGATAGAAAATAGCCTCCGGCCGTTAAAATTTTTTAGATCTGCCGATAGCAATCGGTTTGTAATTGTCTGTTTGTTACTGTTACGTTCATAAAAAAAAACAACGAAAATGGCGCGTACGAAGCAAACTGCACGTAAATCTACTGGCGGTAAAGCCCCTCGTAAACAATTGGCAACTAAAGCAGCCAGGAAAAGCGCTCCTGCTACTGGAGGTGTAAAGAAGCCACATCGTTACAGACCTGGAACTGTAGCTCTTCGAGAAATTCGTCGTTACCAAAAGAGCACTGAACTTTTGATTAGAAAGTTACCTTTCCAACGTTTGGTTAGAGAAATTGCCCAAGATTTCAAGACCGATTTGCGATTCCAAAGTAGTGCCGTGATGGCCTTGCAAGAAGCTAGCGAGGCTTACTTGGTAGGACTTTTTGAGGATACCAATTTGTGCGCAATTCATGCAAAACGCGTCACCATTATGCCGAAGGACATTCAGCTCGCTAGACGTATTCGTGGCGAAAGAGCTTAATTCATTTTAATCAACCCAACTTCTCAACAAGACCGGTTCTTTTCAGAACCAATAGTTTATTTTCTGAAAAGTAACTTATCCAATACGAATTCTACATTTTTAAGTAAGTTTTACGACCTAAAGTTTAAATTACTACTTAAACAAGGTAGGTACAAACTAACAAACGAAAGCTTTTTTTTAATTGATTTCATTCAAAAAAAAAACAAAGACTGGATTAGTTTTATTCTTTTCGTCTTGAGGACCATAGTCGGGTAGGCGCTTCTTGCCTTCTAGAAACAAAATTGATAGGCAGATTAAACGCACAAAATTATTTGATTAAAAATTAATCTTTTGTGCATTTACACTTTATCAAAAATAATTATAAGTGGTAGGTGACAACATCAGAATTAATGTTACTATATAATCATAATATTGCAAATTACATTCCAAATTTACATTATATTTATTGTTCACAGCTACTATTCAGCTTAAGTTCACTGAATAGTTGTATAGTTTTGGATTAATCTTAAATTTTGAATGAAGAATTTAAGCGTTGAAATTGAAACGAATGTTTCGACGAATAACTTGACACTGATTTGTTTATTACATACGAACAAGACTTCTTCCAAAAACAGGTTCAAAAAATTAAAAAGAGAAAACGACACGTTCTCAAATTATTAACGAAACTTGTTCATTCGGAATAGAAAACAAAAGAAATAAAAAGAAATTAAAAATAAAGAAAAGTTTTAACATTATGTTGATCCTTGAACGAAAATTAAGAATTAATTAAAATAATTAATAAAAAAAATAAAATATGAATTTTAAACAACTAGGTATACAACTGAAATTACAAGAACATACATAAACTTTAAACTTTATAAACATTAAGAAAAAAATCCATACAAGTTGAATTAACAAGTCAGATTATTCCATATTATTTAATTTTTTTAAAACTATTATTATATTAAAGGTTGGTTCACTGATTCAACAAAACCTATCACAACAACTCAAATTTAAGGCTTTTCTAGTGAAAATATCAGCTGTTCTGAATTGTTTTAATTGTTGTAAGTACTAATTTTTAATATAAAACTTTAAAAGAACTAAAGCCGCAGTGATTAAATAAACATTTATAAACAAGTACCTAGAACAACAAGAACAATTTAGAGCAACAAAAAATATGTGATTTTGCAAAATTAATGTCCGTGTTAAACGTAAAACACATCTAGAACAATTTGAATCGGCAAAGTTTGAGTTATTTTAGATTGTTCTATGTTTTTTAATTCTTATTGTGTAATATAAAACCGCTGACACAAGAATTACTGACTGAAACTTCCAAAAACTTTAATTTTCAAAGAGTAAAGTGCCCTTTAGAGAGTTGTTCTAGTGAAAATAATAGCTGTTCCAGATTGCGTTAGCTATAATAAGTATATATTTGTAATATGGAATTGATAATAGAAAAACTATGGTTCTTAAATTCTTTATTGTTAATTATTGTCAAAAATGTCTCTAATTTTGTGTTGTACCTTTTTTTTTTGTTATTGATTACAACGGTTATTTTATTTTTTTTTATTAATTTTTTACATAAAAATTTCTAACAAGATGGGAAGTAATAATATTAATAATAATAATTAGTACTCTAAATACTGTTTAAGTGTTTTTTTTTCTTTTTTTTAAGGAGTAAATTTCTTTTCAATTTAGGTATTTCAAATTTATGATTTTAGAGTCTAAACAATTAATACCCTGTTGTTTAAGTATTTTTTAATTTTTAATAAATACTCATTCATACTATTCTCTTATTTGTTGTATTTCTTTCAAATATTAAGTTAATTATAATTACCGTATTTTTATAATTAAATTTTAGTTGTTATAAATAAACTTTAATTTTGTATTAAATTTTAGTTAAAAAAAAATTTAAGTCCCTGTTATTACCACCGTCATTCCTTTCCTTTCTACGTACACAGTTCTAGTACAAAGTTTGTAGCTTTTTTTATTTTCAAATACTTACATATATTCAAGTTAAAAATTTTTCTGAAATTTTACCGAGTTATTACATACTTCATTAAGCGTTTTACTTATAGTTTGGAACTTCTTCGGACATCATAAAAGTTATAAACAAGGTGGTGGTAAAGTATTCGACGTGCTTAAATTTATATTAAATTCAGCGAGTCTTGTATGATAATAGTTTGTAAAACTAAACTGTGGATAGGATGCGATAATACTTTCTCAGAAATAGATTTGTGGCTCTGAAAAGAACCGGTCGTTATAAAAATGTAGAGAAATTATTTGGAACTTGTGTATTTCGTAACAGCTTTGGTGCCCTCACTTACGGCGTGCTTCGCCAATTCTCCGGGTAATAGAAGTCTGACCGCCGTCTGAATTTCACGACTGGTGATGGTCGATCTTTTGTTATAATGGGCCAAACGAGACGCTTCCGCGGCAATTCGCTCGAAAATATCATTCACAAAGCTGTTCATGATGCTCATAGCTTTACTCGAAATGCCAGTGTCAGGATGAACTTGCTTCAATACCTTGTAAATGTAAATAGCGTAGCTTTCCTTCCTCTTGCGCTTCTTCTTTTTGTCGGTTTTCGAAATGTTTTTTTGCGCTTTACCGGCCTTTTTTGCTGCTTTTCCACTAGTTTTTGGTGGCATTGTTGATTAGTTAATAACAATAAATCGATTACAAGATTTTAATATCGTTCAGTACTAGCACGACGTTAACAAACCGTTCGCGTCTACAGAATTAAAAAAAAAACCGTTTTTGTCGTTTAAAACGTGGAAGCGTCGGACCAGTAGGCCACGCCTCCTGTTGCTATCGCTTGGTTGACGGCAGCCTATTGGTTGCACCGTCGGCGTAGATGCGTATAAATATTTTAAGAAAACGGTTTCGCTGGCATTAAAACTAGAACCATATTGTTGAAGTTTTCGGCACACATTAATCAACAATCAACTAATCTAAGTCGCCATGTCGGGTCGAGGAAAAGGTGGAAAAGTTAAAGGGAAAGCAAAGTCCAGATCCAGTCGTGCCGGATTACAATTTCCCGTTGGCCGCATTCACAGGTTGCTGAGGAAGGGCAATTATGCTGAACGTGTAGGAGCCGGAGCTCCCGTATATTTGGCGGCCGTAATGGAGTACTTAGCAGCGGAAGTTCTCGAATTAGCCGGTAACGCCGCTAGAGATAACAAAAAGACTCGTATCATCCCTAGGCATTTGCAACTGGCCATACGTAACGACGAAGAATTAAATAAATTACTATCTGGAGTAACTATTGCACAAGGAGGTGTGCTTCCGAATATTCAAGCTGTTTTGTTACCTAAGAAGACCGAGAAAAAACCTTAATTTACTCTTTTATCCTTGCCGCCGCGACACATTAACAAACGGCCCTTCTCAGGGCCACAAATATATCAGAATAATGAACTATCTATCGATGTCTACGATTGCGACAAATATCAATATACATAATATTTGTGCATCATTCTTTTTGCTAGTGTTGTTCATCTAACAACCTCTCATTTGTGTACAATTAATAAAACAACGATCAGTTGAAGCTTTGTGCCTATAGTTTTCTTTTGATATTTTCTTAACCAAGCACGGCAGTGTCGTCTGAAAGACGACTGAAAAAATGTTAAATAACAATTACATCTTATTTGTCGTACTTCCCAAAATAACAATAACAATTTTTTTATATAAACATAGGGTCGCAACTCTTTTGTTTCGAGCTATGAGCGATCAAAGTTGAGCCAAAAATTAAACCTTAGAATTTGAAATTGTGTACGTATTTACTACTGGTTGAAAAAAAGGTCTAATGAATGTAATTGTAACGTTTTTTCATTGATTTATTTTTGTCGTTAATTTTCAAATTTTTACCCCGTTATTTTGAAAATGGTTTTCTGAAAAAGGTATGATTTCTCCGCTACTTTAGTTTAGCACGGAACATTTTCGACTATTCGAGTTGTTCGGCCTATGGAAACGATTGTTTAATAATAATAATAATGTTTATTAATCGGTATCAATAAGATATATGTACAAATAGAAAAAATAATAATAAAATCATAAAAAGGCAGTTTTGATTAAAGAGGGTCACGTCAGGTCGACCAAGTGACCAAGGCCCCTTTGTCGCAGTGTTTTTCAATGACCCTCAGCAAAATAATAAGACAAAAATTGAAAAATAAAATAATTGAAACACCCGAACATGCCCATCAAAGCGAAGGCGCTCATCGAAACAGATACCCAAATTTTTTACATTTTCCCCAATGCTACGCCGACTTCCACCCATCGCCAATTGCAAGTTAGTTTTTATAAACTCAGATGAAGCTGTATCCCCAAAAACCATAACCGATGACTTACTAGAATTAATCCGTAGACAAAGCTTGCCAGCAAGTTCTTCGACCTTAACTAAGTCATGATTAATTTTGCTTTCAGCGTCTTCCATATCACACAGTTTAAAAGAGTATTGTTTAGGTTAAGAGCGCTCGGAACGAAAGGGTTTCAAATCTCAGACGGGAAGAAGAAGAGAGGAGTTCCTTGGAGTCAGTTAGTCATAGTCAGTCAGTTAATTAGAGTCAGTTATGAAGCCTCAGTGAGTTAGGAGTTTAGTTTAGAGTAGAGATGGACCACTGAAGTCAAAGTCATATCTAGTGGATGAGAGAAACAGAAAGGTAGTTGGTTTTTGAAGAGGAAGTGACTTGAAGACGTTGGAATCAGTCAGAGTCAGATCTAGTGGATGAGAGAAACAAAGAAGAGTTCGAGGTCCAGAAGACAATTGAGTCGTTCATGAGTTGGAAAACGAGTTCCTAGTGTGGATTCCAGTGGAAAGGTTCAGACAAGAAGAGTCGAAACCAGAAAGGGAGAAGTGATCGTTGGTCGAAAGAAGCCCGTTGCAACGATGAGACTTGTAACACTTTGTGAGTAATTTCATGTACTTTGCTTATATTCCATTTTGTTTGGTATGACTCGTTTGGTAAATTTTGTTTAATGAATTTTGTTCGATAAATTCTGTTTGATAAATTTCGTTTTATTGTTTATTTTGTAATTTGTCTGATAATATTGGTAATTAAAGTACTTAAAGCTTAAAAATCAAATTTCCTTTTATTCTAATTCTTTGACCAAGTTAATAATTGCGTGACAAATTTTCATTTCACACGTCCACACCCTCATTGAATAGTTTTTAATTTGTAAAAAAATCTTGGTCCCCCGAGATTGCCGCTCGTAGACTGCAGACAGCATCGGATCAGCTGCAAGACTACTTCGCAAAGTGGCGGGTCAAAATCAACGCTGATAAAAGTACCGTAGTATTCTTTACTCGGCGTAGACAGAGACCCCCCGATGCGTTGGTACTGCGAGGGAACGAGCTTCCCTGGCATTCCGAAACCAGGTATTTGGGTGTCATTCTGGACTCTAAACTAACTTGGAAAAGTCACATCGAGGCCATGGCGAACCGGGCGAAGGTAGCTTTGGTCAATCTGTACGCTCTGATAAATCGCCGAAGTAAGTTGGATCCTCTCCGGAAGATTCGACTTTACAAAGCAGTTATCAGACCTGCGATGACATACGCTTCTTCAGTCTGGGGTTACGCCGCGCACTCGTACGTGCAAAAACTCCAAGTGGTTCAGAACAAGGTCCTAAGGATGGCATTCGATGCTCCTTGGTTTGTCAGTAATGCGACACTGCACAATGATTCACAGATGGTAACCATCGAGGAATTCATTCGGAACAAAGCCAGTACCGAGTTCACGCGGCTCGAAGACCACCCAAATCCCCTCCTAGCGGGATTAACGGATTACGACGTTGAAAACCTTCGCCATAAACGGCCAAGGCTGCTTCTCGTCTAACGATTCGGGAACCCGACTGTCCTTTCCAAATCCACTTCCGATATAGCTAATTTAGCGTATATTAACTAATATCTTTTCCGTCTGTTTTAGATCCGATGAAGAGGGTTAAGGAAGATTTCCAGGAACCTCAAGAGGCCCGTCAAGTTCACCGTTGTAAAAAAATATCAATTTTAATAACATCATTGAGAGAAATGAAGCGAACGACGTTGCCAGATCGCTTTTTTTAAACTATATTGTTAGAAAGCACAATATAATCGCACTTAAAAAATGTTCTGTAATAGGTTGGAATTGTAGAATAAAATAAAGCTCATGAAAATCAGTAGATGTCGTATGTCGGTAGACAATCTTCTATAGCGGTAACTCTACCGATTATTCGGTAGGGTTGGCAACGCTGATTCAGATTCACGTAAACAAAGTGTTAACTGCATCATACTTAAAATTTTAAATTATCTCTGTAATTAAATACAGCTTTTAAAAAATATAATAAAATTTAATTGTGTGTAAAAATGTAGAATAATTTAAGCGGTGCCATCTATTAATGGGAAACAAAACTATGCCTGCCCAGATGTCGTTTCAGTGACGCATGAGCTCTTTCGTTGACCTTGCAACCGTGGATTTCATCCAGACGCAATTCTATTTTTCATTCCATTCCATTCGAAGAAGAGTTGATTTCAAAGAAGCTTGTTTTGTGGTGTTAACAGTTTTTGCAGAAACAACGTTGTAGAAATGTTCAAATATTGCATATTGGTTATGAATTATCATCGAATAAACACAAAAGAAGGCAGATTTTCAATTCTCCATTTCGAAGATGATTAACAACAAATTGTTGCAGGTAAGAATTTTTATAAAAAATTTATAATGATTAAAAACTTATATTATTTTATGATAGTAAATGCATTATTAAAATAAAATTAATAAAACAATATTAATAAAACAATATTTCAAGAATAGCATTGTCGCTTAAATATCAATTATAACAATAAATAATAATAATCTTTATTTAGCGCACAAATACAAAGAATCTTTCGTAAATATCGACTTTATAAAAAGACTTTTTATAGAAAAGTTGTTTAACATTTTATGTTTCATAATAAGACAGCATTCAATTGTTTTTATTTCAGAAAACAAATGAATTTTAACACTTGAATTTTTTAAATAGCAATGTACGCTTTCCTTAGGCTCATTTGATAGAATTTTTTTTTCTTTTTTCGATGATGTAACATCTTAATACTCTTATATTCGAAAATTTGTCAAAGAAATTTAAAAACTGTGTTAATTGAGTTAAATTTATCTATAACATGAATCCCAGATCTTTTTTATTTATCTTAACAATTGAATGTAGGCTATTAAATGAGACAGAATCTTGTTTATTAAAATTAGTTGGTAGACAAAAAATAAAAATGGTTCATTTAATAGAGACTGAACATATACAGGTGTTTCTGTAAGTCGTGACATAATTTTAAGCACAAATACTAAAATCAAAATGATGACGATTCGTGTAAAAGTTTTTTTGGTCTAAACCCATAAATGGCTAAGATATAGGCCATCAATGTTAAGAAATTTTTAAACATTTTCTTAAATATTTTCAATATGATTTGTCTTAAAATGATAAAATTTGGCAAACAGTGCAATGTTATCATGAAAAATCGTTTAAGATACTTTTTGAAAACATGCAAACACCAGATTAGTGCTATACAGGCTGTTCACAAAGGTTATTTTCTTAGAACTTTTTCATTGTCATAAACCATTAAATTTTCCAACTGATTCTAAAAGACTATTTCATTTTGAAATTATTTTTACGCTTACAAATTTTTAATTAGACGCATAGTTTTCGAGTTATTCACAAAAATAAAATAAAAAAAATCTGAGAAAATCTGGATTTTCTTCAGTATAATTAATGATTATCTGTAAAAAGTATTTTTTTCTAAAAACGCATCATCAATAGTACATTTTCGAAGGATACAATTGCTGTTCATGTAGGACATGCCAAGAAGTACCTTTGGATATTCTAAAATGATCTCAGATTCCCGTTATTTACATACTTCTGTCTTAAATTTTTTTAAATGTTTCTAAGAAATGTTTGTAATCAGGTTGTCTTTACTTACAATTTATTTGTTTCCATAGGCATCCACGATTTATGAAAACATTGTGTTATTAAGCAACACATACCGGACTATTTCCTTTTTTGTAAATAGAAACACAAATATTTAAAAATTTGTATTTACAATATTATTAAATAAGTACAAAATATAGTTTTAAATAAATTTTAAACTAATAAAATATGTTCTAAATCTTAGAAGCTAATATTTACGTACTCTGGTGAGTACTTTTAACTGTCTTGATTCGTATCCAATATTACTTTTCTTCTTTTTGTTCACCATTGTCCCTTTTCCACTGGCAAAACTGTTGATACTCCATTTCATACCTATTTGCCGACTTCGCTGGAACCAATTTTCCAATCGCTAAATTTCGCAGATTTCGCTAAAATTCCTAGTGCTATTTTTCTATGTCAAATGTCTTTGTAATTAATATTAATTTTGAATGTACTAAATTAGGAAAAATATTTTTTTTCATATTCCGTAATAAAAATGAGGGATTGCCATTTGAAAAAAGTATTGATGACGTTGTAACTCGTTTAAAAATAGCGGAAAAATTTAAAATCAAAACCAAAAATTGCAAAAAGCTAAATCTTTGGACCGCTCCCAGCGATTTTTCTATAATCTGTTTTTGATTGTTTCAACGAATTTATCCATTACTTTTGGGAAACCGTGTATATGCATGTTAAATTAAATTGAATTTTGTACTAGTATCACTCACTAAAATGTTTCCAACAAATTTTTATAAATTGCTTATAACGTTCTTTGAAATAATTTTCTAAATACAACATAAAATTATTTTTTATTAATTTTTTTATAGAAGTTGTATTTCACATTTGTTATCGAAACCCAGTTTATTTACCGGATGTGTGTTCGGCCACATCCGAAGGAAATCGTTATAAGTTGGTTTTGTTTGATAATTGCTCCTGATATCAATAATTTCTATGCGATTACGTTGATTTCTATTTTTATTAATTTTGAGACAACTTGTATCATCCACTTACAAGAGAAAGGTTTTTTTTATGTATCACACAATGTACAGGATGAAAAGAGGCGAATTAACAAAAGAAATGGTTGAATAATCCAAAAAATATACATTAGATTGATTTTTTAAGTCAAATGTTTAAATATAGATCTAAATATGTGAAGTGTTTTTTTCAATCTATTGCAATACAGACAAATTAAGTATACAGGGTCTTTAATGGAACAACTGTTGAATAATATACTGAGCATATTATTTCATATTTCATCTCGAAATTCTAAACAAAATTCATGTAGCACATCATAAACCTAAACTTAATCGTTTTTGAGAGTCGCACATCCAATATCCGCAAAAAATCAATGTGGTGCGGAATAGTAATTTTCAAATTATTTTCTCCGTACGTAGTACATACGCAGATTGTATTGCATTACAAAACGATCTTTATTGATTTTAACTACGATAAATGCGCAAAGGTTACTTTTAGCAAGAAAAGATACAATATTGATTATTCACACGTATTCAGTGTTAAGTCTATTAAGTGCGATACATCTATCAAAGATCTCGGTGTGATTCTGGATTCTCAGCTATTATTTTCTAATCGTATTTAGTATGTTTTTTTGAAAGGTATGAGACAACTTGGGGTTATCTTACGAACCACTCATGTTTTTTCATATCTTGCTTGTGTGAAGTCTGTTTATATGCCTTATGTCAATAGTGTTCTTTATTAAATAAATGTATTAAATAAAAACTCAATTCCAGCGGCATTGATATCTTCAACAAGATGGCGATCCACCTCACTATGCCGTTCCAGTTCGATCTTATTGCAATCACTTATTTTCTAACTGATGGATTAGGAGAAGAGGGCTAAGGAGTGGCCGGCAAAATAATCAGATTTCACTCCGCTGGACTCTTTCTTTTATCGATATCTGATGAGTAAAGTTTACACTACTGGACCAAATACTTTGGATGAACAAAAAATCTAAATCCAAGAAGAGGTTGTCAGGAAGAATTTAAAATCGTTTAGGTTGCTGAAAAGCACTCACAATAACGACAAGTACTGACAAGTTGCTCAAGGTATACATTTCAACATTTAACTTAATTCATTTATTTAATTTTTTATTCATTTAAATTATTAATTTTATTAATAACGTTCTGATTTTCGGCATGAAAGTTCACAGAAAAACATTCACAGATAAAATTTCAGTGAAATTACATAATTGGTAATGCTTCTTCAGCTTGAATTTATTGTGGTTGTATAATTTATAAATGATAATCGTATAATGCAATATATCCATAAATTATGTGTCTGTCCAAATCTACCGTTCTGATAGATAAAAAGTGCATTGAGGACATTATTTTTAATAACAATAATACATTTTATATGTAGGATTTATTTTTTTTATCTAATATTTCTTTTTGTGTATTTTAGGTGGCTCCCAACCCTCTAAAAGTATAAATAGTACCAATTTGTCTCTGTTGTGCACTAATTAATGTTGCACTGAAATTACAAACACCTTCAAGGAAGTTAGTTTGATTAACAATTAAATAACACCAACTATGGTTTTTCTGTAGTCCAATTTTCAAAGACAATTCCTCAGTTTAACAGGTAATAGTTTAATTTATCTTTTTTATCAAATTTGGTCACAAATTAATCAACACAAAATAATTAATCTTTTTTGTGTTAATGAATTACAATAATGATTCTGTATTATGACTTAAAATCATAAAAAATCTTGTAAGTCTTCTTTTGCTAAATCGCAAAATGGTTTGATGTTGAAAAAATGTGTACCTGAAATAGTTTTTATGCGTTTCAAAGCAAACTTTTCTAAATTGAACAATGGATCTTTTATAATTAACCTCTAAATTGTATTCAAAGCATGACTACTAAAGCCTGATCAATTATATTAAATATAAAACAAATTTTAAACAATATAATACAATTTTCAATAGCAAATTAATTTATTGGGAAAAATGTGCAAGTTTTCACTCTTAAGAAACGTTAACTACAAGTACATTGTTGTTTACATGTATAAAACTTTAAATTAGGAAGTGTACAGTTAATTTTAATAAGTTTTACAATGTTTCAATCCAAACTAATAACTTGATTGTTGTTTGTAGCCTCATTGTAAGTCTTTACTATAAGGCTGGCTTCCTATCTGCTTGGAGACTATACTTGTTTTTGAAAAAGTGGCGTAGCGTGGGTGTCGGCGGTTATAAGAATTTCCCAGCGAAAAAAATGAATAGCAACGTTTTAATGTGCCAACAAAAGACTTAACTTGCCTCAACTGAGGCAGTATGTAAACAAAGTAGGTTTAACCAATGATTTGAGCAAGGTATAAATTCAACTTTGGGATATATTTCTTTAGTTCTTTGCTGAACTCCTGAATGCCTTCCAGCCATTTTCATTTCCAGCCCGTTGGTTATATCATTTCAGAAATAGCTCTACTTTCCTCTTCATCTATGCCAATACCTTTCTTTGAAAATTTATATCCTTACATTTTTCTAAATTGAACATTACATTTTTTCCTTTAGCTATTTGAAAGACTTGTTCTAAAATTTTGTCATGTTCTTCATCTGTGTTAGCATGTATTAATACAGATAATATAATCAATATATAGTTTTACTCCTGGAATTTGAAATATTTCTTTAAAGTATTTTTGAAAAACTTCACTTGCTGTTTTAATACCAAATGGTAATCTTAAAAATTTAAATCTTCCAAACGCTGTTCCAAATGTACATAAATTGCTAGATTGTTCATCTAAACAAATGTTCTAAAATCTACTAGTAGCATCTAAAATGCAGAATTTAACTGAACCATTCAAACTATTACAAATTTAATTTATATTGGGAAGTTTAAATTTCCTGGACTTTATCTAAAAGGCTTAAACGTTGTAGTCTTTTAGATCTAAACATATTTTTAAGCTTCCATTGGCTTTACAAACTAATACATAAATATGAATTTCACCATTCTGTGCTACCCTCTACTTATTCAATTCTCTTGTAGTTTCTCCAAATTATTTAAGCATTTTCTAAACTGATCTAATATAAAAGGTAGATTTCTGATGGAGTTTATAGTAGGTTTTATGTTTTCTTCAACTTCTATTTTATATGGTTTTTCAATTTTACCCTTCAAAAATTTGTTTATGTTTGTGAATTAACATATCATATTTTGACGTTTTTAAATGTTTATTGTCTACTTTTATGCTATTTAATTGTTTTTATTTATGAAATTTTACAACATCTAACTTAAAGTTCGCATCTATGCCAAGAATACATTCTTGATATTCATTTTCACTAACATAAAATTCTGCATTTACCTAACGTATTAATCTTTTTTCCAGTGTAAGTTAATAAAGTATCATTTGTTTTTAATACATTATTTACATTAAAGTTAATTATCTTTAGTTGACGTGACGTTATAACATTGACATTGGCTCCTAATACAATTTATTTGTAAAATATCATCATTTACACACATTTGCAAAACGATTTTTAATGCCACAATGTTTACATATTTTCCCCAAGGCGGGGTAGTTGTTTATTTTGTGATTATATGCGCATCTGTTGCAGTTTTGCTTTACTTATCTGATTTATAATATTTCTTGGCTCCTTCATATGGATTTGTATCTTGTTTCTCTTTTCGATTGTGTTTATCCTTTTCATTGTTGTTCTGTCTTCTTTCAGTGTTGATTGTTGATCCTTCTGTTCACTCTGGACGATGTTGTTGCATGTCCCTTAGCTGCTTCCTCGATGTCTTCGTTATGACACAACACTCAATGGTTTTTTCCAATGCTAAGTTGTCAATTTGCAGTAACTTCTCTCTTATGGCTTCGTCATTTTCGTCATTTTCTTTCGTCATTTTTTATGGCTTCGGTTTTATTATTAACATAGTTAATGTTAATTCCGTTGTCAGGTTATCATTTTCTAGTTCACATTGTTGTCCTTGACTTTTAATTTTAGACCTTATAAATTGTTCCATGGATAAATTTTCTTGTCTAGCCCTGAAAAATTTGTACCTCTTGTAGGTCATGTTCTTTTTGGCTACGAAGTATTCTTCAAATTTCTTTTTTAATACGTCAATTTTGTCTTTTTCTTCAGATTAGCGATATTCACCTCCAGGTTCATTTTTATAATATTAATTATATGTATTGAGTTTTTCTTCAGCTTTTAAACTGAATGTGTTGCATATTTTAATACAATCGTTCCCGTATTTGTTAATAAAACTAACTGTTATTTGTATTTAGCTTCTTTATTAACTATTTATACAGTGAAATTCCCCTAACTTGAATTACTATTAGTAGAATTTCAGCTCTTAAGAATAAAATTAGAAATGCACTATTCTAATACGTATATTTAAAACAGAAACCTTAATACTATTGTAAGTAGAAAATTAATCAAGTGTTTTAAAGTAATACGTAATTTTCTTTTGGCTTAAAGTGGACAACCGCTCTTTGTCGAAAAGATCTTCTATTAAATGTAAAGAATTATGAATATTATCTGGAACATTTTCTCTTGATAATACAAAGGTTTCAAGTTTTCTAAGAGAGGAATAAGCTTCATCAAATGCAGGCACAGCGATATAATAGTATTTCATTTTCAAGATTATCAGCACCCTCATTTGATTCTGAATCAATAAGAACATTAGGTTTGTTTTGGTTCAAAAGTCTGTAGTTTCTAAGCCTGAGTCTATGTGGTTTGATTCTGTAGTTAAAATTACTTACAGAGCGGATTCGAATATTTTATTCTTTGGTAAATTCGACTTATAGAAGTAAAAGTTGAAGAAATTCCATGGTAGTTCAGTTCGAGTTACACAGAAATTCGAGTTAGGGAAATTTGACCTAGTAGTTATTGATAAATAACAGATTTCAATCCATTGTGAATATGAATCTCTTATACAAAAAAATTCTTATTATCTCTAACTGCAAAATCTATATGTACTCGTTCAAATATTCTGTTAGCGCAAGACTAATTAATCATTGGTTCTGTTTTAGCATTTGCAGATTTCTGACACACTTTACAATGTTTTATTAAATCTTTCAAATCATTATCTATTTTCGGCCACCAAACTAGACTTCTTGCTGGATGTTGTTCATGTAACAGATTTAAAATCTCAGACCTTAGTATTTTAGGTATAACAACTCTTCCTCCCCATAATACACAATCTTTCTCTATTGTCAACTCATTTCTTGTAAAATATGCTTCTAATAATTGATTGTTCATTTTAGTTATTGCTGGCCAACCTGTTAAAATATATTCTTTTACTATTGATAGAATATTATCATTTTTTGTTTTGCTATAATTTCGGCTGAAATTGGTATATCATTCACTGTTGAAAAATAATTTAATTCTGCTCTAGATTTTTCTTCTGTCTATTTCAATGGTAGTCTGGATAACAAATCGGCATGTGATATTCTCTTTCCACATTTGTATTTGATATAATAATCATATGTTGCCAAAATTAACGCCCAATGTTGAAGCAGCAAGAGTTGGTATACTTTTATTAGGATTAAATCGCTACTGCCGGGACAAAAGGTCATAAGTCTATTTTTTTAATATGGCGTTATTCTTCATATTGTACAATTGTATCAACATGAAGAATTCAAATTTACCTCAAACGCCATATTAAAAAAAAATAGACTTATGACCTTTTGCCCCGGCAGTAGCGAAATATTGTTTGTAAAGGTTTATGATCTGAATAAATTACAAACTTTCTTCCATGTAAAAACAAATGAAATCTTTTTATTCCAAATATAATCGCTCTGCCTGATTCAGTATTCTTTAAGCAAAATATGTAGGTCTTTCACATTCATCTACTTACATGCGCAAGAACTGCTCCTACTCCAGCAGTCACCTGAAGCATCACCTGTTAAAATAAGTGCCTTTTCTAAGTCATAATATGTTAAAATATTATCTTGCAATAATATAGTTTACACTTTTCAAAATCTCTTTGGCATTCAGTTGTCAGTTGTCCATTCAAAAGATTTATTCTTCTTCAAAAGGTTATATAAAGGCCTTAAAATATTGGCTGCACCTGATATAAAATTTCCATAAAAATTCATTAATCCAATAAAAGATCCTAATGTGGTTAAATCTGTTGGTGTTGGTGCTTCCTTTACAGCTTGAATACCCCTTTCTGTTGGTTGAATTTCTTTCTCTGACATCAATACTCTCAAATATTCAACTTGTTTCTTGTTTAATACTTCTGTTACTGTCTTTTGGCATTCCTCCAAATTAGTTCCCCAAATAAGAATTGTTATATCATCTATATGATGATATATAACAATATACATTACTTAATTTTACTTAAGTTTCCAAACTGACAATCAATAGCCATTTTTTTAGTTCAATTGCATATTCATTCACTGACTGACTTTCCGTTTGTTCTTTTTTCCAAAATTGGAATCTTTGTACTGTTGTTAATTTTGGATATGAAGATTAAATTATTTTCCTTGTACTATATCGATGTTATTTTTTTTTGTTTTCTTTTCTACATGTTTCGAGGAAACTGAGCCCTCATCATCAGGAAGAAATCGTCAAATTTATCGAAATCGAATACCTCGGACTCGTATTAATTATTTTAAGGTTCCATTGTTTAGAAACTTTTTTCAAATATTCTGAACCAAATGGTACATTGTCAGCTATTATTACCTTTTCCGTTATTTAGCATTTCCTCGTGGGACACCATGGCTTGAAAATACAATTAATAGTTTATCGCTAATATCTGAAGATAACTTAGTTTTAATTTTAAAAATTTGAATCCATTTGGCTAAATAATCTATTATAACTAGATAATCTTTGCCACTATATGTCATTATGTCCATTCCTAGCTTTTGATGATGGTTTTCAATTCGTAATTGAACATCTTCTACAAATCGAGCATTTACTGATATATTCCACTATTTCATGTGTTATACCCGGCCAAAATTTAGCTTGTTTCACTCGTAGTAATGTTTCTGTAATTTCGATGTGACCCTCAACAATCTTAACATATTAGGTCTTAGATCTCGCGGAATTACGATTCAGCCATCAAAATATAAAATCTCATTATCAGCAATAATGTCAAGTCTTAATTTATAATATTGTCTGCATACTTTATCTACTCTAGTATTTACAAAGAATCTAAATCTTAGATAAAATCGGGTAATTTCTAGTGTGATTGCCTTCAATGTTAATTTCACTAGGATAAGTTTTTTTTGGAAAACTTCTACTCACCAAATTGTCTATGTACATGTTTTTCCCCGGTAGATAAGTAAGATCTACATCATATTGAAGTAATTTTAGTCTCATTTTTTGCAGTCTAGATGAAGGAATTTTTATTATATCTTTTTTCATTAAACTTAGTAACGGTCGATGATCACTTTCTACCTTAATTTTAGTTCCCTAAATATTATTTTTTTTATTTTCTGCAAGCAAACACTACGCTAATTAATTCCTTCTCTATTTGTGAGTATTGTATTTCAGCACCGGTAAGACGTAATTGCGTGACGCAAATGCAATGGGTTTTCCGTCTTGTAATAAACTACAACCCAGCCCCTCTTTAGAGGCATCACATTGAATAACTACAGGCAAATTTGGATTGAACTGACTTAAGATTGTTCCTTCTGTCAGAATCTTTTTTAAACTTTCTACTGTTTTACTATGTATCTCATTCCAATACCAAGCGATGTCTTTCTTAAGGAGCTCTTTGAGAGGAGCACTAACTTCTGCCATATTAGGAATGTATTGCCTTAGATAATTAAACAATCCTAAAAGTCTTTGAAGTGCTTTCTTTGATTCGTGGTTATTCAATTTTAAAATAGCCTCAATATGATCTTTATCAGCCTTAACACCGTTTACATTAAAAATGTGACTGAAATATATTATTTCATTTTGTTTATAAATAAATTTTTCTTGATTGAATTTGACGTTGAAGTTTTTAGCGTTTTTTATTATTTGTTTTACGGGTTGATCATGTTTCTCCTCTGTTTCTGTCGCTATAAGAATATCGTCAAAATAGATTATTATGTCATCTTTATCAATATTACTAAAATATTTATTATTGAGTTCTATAAAAGCTTCCGGTGTACGTGGTTCAACCTGAAAGGTAATCTCAAAAACTTATAGTACCCAAATGGTGTGCTAAATGCACAAAGATTTGTGGA